GAAGAAGGAGGAGGGAGAGAAAGAGGAAGGGGAGCAGAGGGAAGACAAAGGAGGAGGAGGAGGTACAGGAAGAGGAGCAGGTGGAGGACTGCTGTTTATGGAGCAGTACATGTCAGGCACTGGGCTGCTGGTTCTGCACGTGCCCCTGAGTTCTACCTGTCACAGAGGAGCCCAGGGGTATACTGACTGTTGTTTATTATTAATCTGCCTGGGCCTCCATAACAGGGGACTGCAGGCCGTGGCTTAAAGGCAGATATTGATTGTCTCCTAGTCCTGGAGGCTGGTGGCTGAGGCCAAGGTGTCGGTTGGCAGGGCTGGTTCCTCCTGAGCCTCTCTCCTGGGCTTCTCCCTGGAACCTCTCAGGGCCATCCCCCTGTGCCTGTGTCTTCATCTCCTTTCTTAGGAAGACACCCATTCTATGGGATTAGGACCCACATAGTGACCTCATTTGACCTAACATCCCTCTTTAAAGGCATTATCTCCAAACACAGCCACATTCTGAGGTCCTGGGGATTAGGACTTCAACTTATGAAAGGGGCACAATTCAGTGCTTACCATATTGTCATCATTTTACAGGAGAAGCATGGAGCTTGGATGGGGGATCACGGCCCTGAGCTACATCCTTAGACACAGTCCTGTTGGGATTCAGGGGCTAGATGTTCCTCCTGGAGCTGGACAGGGCTGGGTGAGAATGTGAACCTTGCCTGGAGAGCATTCTTGTCTATCGAGAAGGATGCTGCTGTCTCTCCCACTGGAGTTTCCTGGGGAAAGCTGGAGGCCTCCAGGGGTGGTGGTACCTTCCTGGGTCTCTCCGGCCACTGGGCAGATAGTCAGGGGACAGGGGTCATGGGTCCAGAGGCAGAGGAATGGCCACAGGGGCCCAGGGGAGAGTCCAGAGAATGTGTAGAGCAGGGAGCCATCAGTCCCCCTGTGGAAGGAGACCCTGCTGGCATTGCAGTCCAGGGTGATGGCCACCCACTGGAGGGGCTGGGTGAGCTGGAGGTGCATCCTGGGGTAGGACAGGGCCTGGCAGCGCTTCTGGTACAGCTCCAGCGCCCAGACTCCATGCTGTGGGGCCTTGGGAATCCTGTCTTTTCGATCCAAGCCTTCTACACACACACCCAGCATCCAGGCCTTCCTGTTGCCCACCTCCACCTCCCAGTGATACCTCCCAGTCAAGAAGCGCTCCTGGCCCAGGACGCAGGGCTCCTGCTAGAACCACCCAGGGCTGGGGGGCAGGTCCCACGAGAACAGCAGCCGCCACACGCTTCTCCCATCCTCAGACAGGCTGAGCTTGGGGCTCGTGGTGTCCAGGTCCAGCTTCAGGCTCACTGTGGAAAGGAGAGGATCATGTGTTTGGGGCTTGGGGTGCCTTCCTTGCAGATGGGGAACCCCGAGGCTTGTCTCACACACTGGGGCATCCCCCGCCATCTCTGGGAATCACTTCACTGTCTCTGTGTCTTGTGCCAGGAGCTGTCCAAATAGCCTGTCCCTAAGAGATCAGGACACATGCAGCCTGGGGTTGGGAGTGGGAGCCTGGCAGAAGGCACCAGGGAGGCGAGAGTGTGGCCAGTGTGTGGGCAGCCTGGGTCACCTCCCAGGATGTGTACCCTGCGGCTTTCATAAGCTTGTGCTGGTGGGCAGGGTGTGTGTGAGAGCAAGATGGAGACAGAGAGAGACACAATGAGAGAGACATACAGAGAGACAGAGACAGGGAGAGACAGGGACAGAAAGAGAGAGACAGACATAGAGAAAAACAGAGAGATATAGAGACAAAGACAGAGACAAAGTCAGAGAGAGAGAGAGAGACCGAGACCGAGAGAAACTGAGCTGAAGGGAGGACATGAAGACACAGCAAGTTCACTGATCACCAGCCAGTGCATCTGGAAAGCCCCAGGAGGGATCCCAGCAGCCCTGGATGCTGAGACAAAGGTCTTCCCAATCAGCCCACCTCTGCAAGAAGCACTTTTCTCTCCTTTCCCCAGTCCTTGTCCCACTTCCTTAAGGGCCACCCTTCCTCTTCAGACCCTCCGTCCATGGGGCTCCTCTTGCCTGCTGTCTCAGAGCGCCCACCCTTTGGTGCATGACCTGGGGGTCGAGGTCCGTCTACACTCCAGCTCCCTAAACTAGAGGCAGTGAGGGCCAGCCTGGGCGCCCGGCTGTTCCAGGTACCACATTTCTGACACCTGAAACCAGCACTAGGTGACCCACCCTGCTCCTTCAGAAGTTCTGTGTGCTGCTGTGGGCTTGGTCTCCGATCCCACGTCCCAGGCATACATCATTTCCTGAACTCTCACCCCCATGGACTTGAGAGCATTCACTGTCTCCGTTATTAAAACCCCAGCTTCCCCACTAAATGCCTCTTTACCTCCTTCTTGCAAGGAAGCCCTTCTCCCCTTTGCTTTTATTTCTTTATTTCCCTCCAAACATCCCCATTGCTACTTCCCGCCTTTCTTCTCCTCCCCACCCAGTTCTCTGTTCCTTGAGCCTGAGCTGTGGGATAGAACTGTTGCTGTCGCTTCTCCCTCACGTCTATACACCAGCACCCCAGCTGCCTCTTCCCCACTGAAGAATTAGTCCAGCTCTTCGTGTTTCCCTCCACCCGAAATGCTGTCATCATTTAAGGAAATTTCTTATTCACATTAAAATTATTCCAGATTTACAGTGACAAAAAGCATAAAGAATATGGCATATGATAACATCTTGCATAGCCATAGTAAAATGATCAAAACCAGAAAATGGACATTGACATAGCTTTATAAAATATCTATTTCATAATCTGCAGAGCTTATTCACATTTTGCTAAATGTCCCTCCCAAGTCCTCCCACTGGTCCCATCTCCAGCCCAGCCAGTTTTGCCTTTCCTGGTCCTTGCCTCTCCCTTTCCACAGTGACTCTTCTCTGTACTTTTTTTTTTTTTTTTTTTTGAGATGGAGTCTTGCTCTGTTGCCCAGGCTGCAGTGCAGTGGTAAGATCTCGGCTCACTGCAACCTCTGCCTTCCAGGTTCAAGCAATTCCCCTGCCTTAGCCTCCTAAGTAGCTGGGATTACAGGTGCCCGCCACCATGCCCAGCTTTTCTTTCTTTTTTTTTTTTTTCATATTTTTAGTAGAGATGGCATTTCACTATATTCACCAGGCTGGTTTCGAACCCCTGACCTCAAGTGATCTGCCCCCACTTGGCCTCCCAAAGTGTTAGGATTACAGGCATGAGCCACCATGCCTGGCCCCTTCTCTGTATTTCATGAGATCATGTCCTGAGGTGAAAAGTCAGATTTCCCTGCTATCTGGGGTAACAGCATCCCCAGAGCTCCCCATCTTAGGAAAGCAGACTCCCTCAGCATCTCCCACATGCAGGATGGTTGTTGCCATAAGTTCTCCATGCCTGGCTCTCCCAGGGTTTCAGAAAATAATAAAGAAGGAGCACAGGCTGTGTGCCACACCTGTAATCTCATACCTGTAATCTCAGCACTTTGGGAGGCTGAGGCGGGTGGATTACCTGAGGTTAGGTGTTCCAGACCAGCCTGGCCAACATGGTGAAACCCCATACCTATTAAAAATACAAAAAGTAGCCAGGCGTGGTGGCAGGCATCTGTAATCCCAGCTACTCGGGAGGCTGAGGCAGGATAATTGCTTGAACCCAGGAGGCGGAGGTGGCAGTGAGCCAAGATCATGCCACTGCACTCCAGCCTGGGCGACAGAGCCACTTCTCAAAAAAAAAAAAAAAAAAAAAAAGAAGGAACTCAGCGTTTCTTGTGGCAGCTAAAACTTGACTTTTACAAGGCTGTGGCTGCCTGTCACCAGCATTTCTGCTCTCTGGAATAGATGGGAACACACACACATGTACATGCATGGTCACAGGAGCACATATGCACACACTCATGCACACTTGCACATATCTTTACACACATGAATGCATACACTAATATGTATACATATGCAAATCATATGTAAACGAATACACATGTGCACATACTCTTGGCACATTGCACTCTTGCATACACAAACGTGCCCTGTACATGGATATGCACACTCGTGAACACACCAAACATAAATGAACACACAGAAACACACATGCATGCATGTGTTTACTTGTACATGCATGCATGTGCTTACCTGTACAGTCATGCACACACTCACATATGCATACACAGTCACACTCATTCACATGCAAACACACCTGCACACATGCAGCACATGCTCACAATCATGCACATGCACAGAAACACAGACATACATGTACATATGTGTGCCTACATGAACACATGTACGTGTGTGTACCCATCACACAGATGCACACACGTTTGCACGTGCACACATGTATGCACACAGTGCTGGAGTGCAATGGCACCATGTCACTGCAACTTCCGCCTCCTGGGTTCAAGCATTTCTCCTGCCTCAGCCTCCTGAGTAGCTGGGATTACAGGTGCCCACCAACATGTTCGGCTAATTTTTGTATTTTTAGTAAAGATGGGGTTTCGCCATTTTGGCCAGGCTGGTCTCGAACTCTTGACCTCAAATGATCTGCCCACCTCAGCCTCCCAAAGTACTGGGATCACAGGCATGAACTGCTGCACCTTGACTTTTCTTTCTTTTTTCTTTCTTTCTCTTTCTTTTTCCTTCCTTCCTTCTTTTCTTCCTTCCTTCCTTCTTTTCTCCTTCCTTCCTTCCTTCCTTCCTTCCTTCCTTCCTTCCTTCCTTCCTTCCTTCCTTCCTTCCTTCCTTCTTTCTTTTCTTGTCTGTCTGACAGGATCTGGCTCTGTCACCCAGGCTGGAGTGCAGTAGCACAATCACGGCTCACTGTAGCCTTAAACTCCTGGGCTCAAGCGATTTTCCCACCTCAGCCTCCTGAGTAGCCGGGACAACAGGCACATGCCACCATGCCTGGCTAATTTCTTTTTTCTTTTTTTTTTCTTTTTTTGTAGAGATGGGGTCTTGCTATATTGCCCAGGCTGTCCTCAAACTCGTGGCCTCAAGCAATTTTCCCACCTCAGCCTCCCAAAATGCTAGATGACAGCTGCAAGCCACCACAAACGACTCTATCATAATGCAGTCTTTACAACCAGCTGCAAATAGGGCTCTGAAGTCTAGGGACAAGTCCTCAACTCCTGAAATGACAGAGGAGGAAGTGAGTGAAGTGAATGAATGATGGGCACAGTCAATATTGAGAATAATCACAATGATTGCAACTGCAAACCCTCCCCTATGCGGCCCCTGCTCTAAATGCTACTTTGTTGGTCACTGCAGCACTCTTTCAGGATGGTATCAGCACTCCCAGCAGACAGAGTGGCTCAGGGCTCACACCAGGTCCCTCAGCCCACACCCATCAGACTTGGGGTTCAAGCTCAGATCTGTCCGTTTTCAAGAGAGAGTCCAACCAGCCTGCCCAAAATCAGCCAGTGAAGACTAACCAAGGGATTGCTAGGAGACAGATGGTCTCACTGGCTAGATCATAATCAGGCAATTCCAGAGTGAGGATCCTCATCGGCCATCGCATTCCTACTGTGTTTGAGGACACATGGATGAAGCCTCGGCTCAGGGCTTCGTGTTAGGGTCCTGGGTTTGGGGGGTGGGCAGGATGTGCCTTGTCGGGGCTCGCTGCTCACCTCTCATGGCTCAACCTCGTTGCTGCTGGTGGGTCGCCTCTGCTCCTTTTCTCTTCGCTCCCTCTCTTCTTCCAGCAATGCTTTGTTCTTTTCCCTTTGACATTTCCAGAAGATGCAGATGCCTCCAGCTATTACGAGTCCCACTGCAACAAGGAACAGAGGCAGAGCCGCTTTCCATGCCATGAACTGGGAGCTTCTGGAGAAGGTAGCTAGAGAAGATTCCCAGAAGCCAGGAATATTGGGGTGAGAGAGTGTCTGTGTTCTGAGGTCAAACTCGCTAAAGGGTTCACGAGTCCAGGGACATGATATTTGCAAATTACTGTGAAATAGTTTCCAAAATAGTATGTATTTGCACACGTGGTGCTATGAACTGAATGTCTGTGTCCCCCAAAGTTCCCAAGTTGAAATCCCAAACCCTACGGTGATGATGTTAGGAGGTGAGGCCTTTGCGAGGTGATGAGGTCATGAGGGTAGAGCCCCCATAATGGATATGATGGGAATGGTGCCTTTATAAAGGGGAGAGCCTATAGAGCTCCCGTACCCTTTCCACCATGTGAGGACACAGTGAGAAGGCGCTGTCTATGAACCAGGAAGCACCCTCCCCAGACACCAAATCTGCCACGCCTTTATCTTGAACTTCCCAGCTTACAAAACTGCGGTCAATAACTATCTCTTGTTTCTAAGCCACCTGGTCTGTGGTATTTTGTTATAGGCACACAAATGGAGTAAGACAGTTGGGTATAGATATATGCATAGGAAGTAGATATTAGATACCTATTTGTAGATAAAGAGAGAAGTGATAAAAAGAAATTTCACAACGAGGTAGAAATGTGGTGAATCTGAGTAAAGGATGCACAGACAACTTCTCTATTAATCTTGCAAATTTTCTGTAAGTTTGACATCATTTAGAAAAGTAAAAGTGAAAGTTTTTGTGAAAAGGTAAATTTGGAAACAACCAAGATATTTTTTAGTAGGTGAATGGATCAATAAACAGTGGTCCATCCAGATTCTGGAACATTATTCGTTTCAAAAAAGAAACAAGTTATTAAGGTATGAAAAGACATGGAGGAAACCTAAACGCCTACCACAAAGTGAGGGAAGCCAGTGTGAAGGGGCTACAGAGGCACAATTCCAACTACAGGACATTCCAGAATGCCTGGAAACTATGGAGACAGTGAAAACATCAGTGGTGGCCAGGAGTTAGGGGAGAAGGATGAATGAGCGGAGCACAGAGGATTAAGGGCAGTGACATTATTTTGTATGATACTATAATGACAGATATGTGGTGTTTTATATTTATCTAGAACCATGGGACGCCATGCCAAGAGTGAGCCCACATGGAGACTGCGTACTCTGGGTGCCGACGGCATTGTCAACGGAGGTTCATCAATCATGGTGGACATTCCTTCTGGTGCAGGGTTTTTTTGCTGGGGGAAGTTGTGCGAGGGGGTTAGGGGAATATGGGAACTCTCTGGACTTTCTACTAAAATTTGTTGTGACCCTAAAACTGCTTTAAAAAATAAAGCCTATTTTTAAAAACCCTAAAAACCGTTGATATTAGGGTGTACATTTCTTGTTCCCCCAAAGGCAAGGCTCTCTCCAGTGTCCCTGCATCCTTATCTCTGTTCCTCTTCCGTAATCAGCACCCAAACAGTGCACCTTCCAGGACGCCCCAGCCAGGTGAGGACAGGGACCTGCTGCCCGTTCCCTCTTGCCACAAGCCCCACAGCTGTCTCTTAATGTCTCCAGTGTCCAGGGCCACGGAATCTTGTGCTCACTGATTGTGAGGACAGAACTGAACAGAGGACTCACCGGGCAGGTGACTTTCAGCCACCTTCCTCCTCTCAGGGAGGAGAGGGCTGGAGATGGAGCAAGAGAGATCCTCCACAGCCCTGTCCCAGAGCATCAAGCTGGACGTCACAGCCCAGAGACCCATGGTGGCCGAGGCTGAGAGATTGGTCACAGCAGGCCTAGCCTGGCCTCTGAAGTCTCGCCATTCCACCCAGGGCTTGGGGAACCAGCCTGCTAATGTGCACTCTGCCTTGACTCCATCCTGCTGTTCCATCACCTGGATTCTGGGCTCCATGCCCAGCCCTGAAGGAAGAGACAGCGACTTGAATCTTTGCAGCCATGGCTGCTTCTATTTAAAGGAAAAACAAAATCTTGAGGATTTCCAATGTATTTTGGCAATTTCACAAACTGCCTACCCTGTATCACATGCCATCCTTAACAGAGTTGCCCCATTTCCCAGACAAAATAGGGTAAGCAAAACGGAAAAGGCCCAGGAAGATTGAATAAGCATCCTGTGTTGCAGAAGTAGAATTCACGGCACAAGATGGGACCTAGGCTTGTCTGCTTCAAAGCACAAGTTCTGAGTCACTCGGGAAACCTCCTGTATTTCAAGACTCTCTTCTCTCTCGGTCTCTCTGTCTCCTGTCATTATTTCTCTGTCTCTCTCTTCCTCCCCATTTCTGTTGCTTACTCTCTTTCTCATTCTCTTTTACTGTCTCTCTGTCTCTGTCTCTCTCTCTCTTTCTGTTACTGACTCAGTCTCTTTGTCTGTTTCATTCTCTCTGTGTTTCTCTCAATTTCTCATTCTCTCTGTCTCTCTCCATCTCTGTCTCTCCTGTCTTTTATTCTCTGTCTCTGCTTGTCCCTCTCTCTCCATCTCTCTCTCCTCATCTCTATAATTCTGTCATTCTTTCTTCACCTCTCTCTGTCTTTCTCTCCATCTATCTTTCCACCTCTGTCTGTCTGTCCCTGCTTCTCTCTCATTCTATCTCTCCATCTCTGTGTCTCTCTCATTCTCCCTGTCTCTCTCTTTCCCTTCCCTTCCCTTTCCAGTACACTGGTGTAAGGAGGGAAAGGAAGATGAGGAAGGTGACCCTGCCTTCACAGCTGCACTTCCCGGGAGCAGCGCAGGCCAGCATGGCAGCTGCGAGAGTGCACTCTCACCCTCCTGAAAAGCCCTCCACCTGAACATGCTGGGCCCCGAGGCCATGCCTGGAAGTAGGACTGATAGCCAGTTAGCCACTGGCCTCACCTGCCACCTGCACCTGCACAATGGCCTTGCCGAACTTTACAACATCCTTGAAGTGGCAGCAGTATGTCTCGTTGTCAAAGGCTGTGACCCTGTGAATCCTCACCATGGCCTTGCATCCGGCCACATGGTCACTCACGAAGGTTGTCCTTCCTCTGTACTACGACTTTTGCTCTCTATCCATGTCCATCCCTCTCTCATGCACGTGCACAGCCAGGGAGGCCTGGCACCTGTACCACCTCAGCTCCATGTCCTCGGCACTGATATTGGGGAACAGTTGACACTGTAACTCCACATGTCCCCCAGCCATGGCCAGAATAGGGGCATGAGGCCCAATGACATCAAAGTCAGCTTTCTCTGGGAGAGGCAGATCAGAAAGGGCTGGGTTAGCCATGTGTGGGAGGCCAGGGCACTTTCTCCCTGCCCCTCCCTCATCTTGGAAGCTTTGGGGACCTCTTGAGCCCGAGCTGCTGGGAGATGCTTCAGCTTCCTGCCATGCTGGACACACACCTCCTATGCCAGGGCACCTGCCTCGACTTGCACAAGAGTCTGTCCCACAGTTTTGACAGATGCTGGCCAGTGGGAGCTGCAGGAAGACCAGGGTGACAAAGCAGATGGGCAGGAAGTCCTCTTGATCGCACATCATTGCCATTCCTGCCAGGTCAGAGCTACGCACTGTCACTGGGAGAGGAGCCACCGCCAGGAAGCTAACAGGTGCAGAGGAAAAATGCCATGGAAGAAAAAGAAGAAAAGGTCATTCACTCTCACTCCCAAACAAGTTATTAATGCTATAAATGGAGACACAGCAAGCCTCATGTGCTCCTGTACCCATCTTCTCACGGGTAACACACCTCTCACCCTAGTCCCTCTGTGGAATTCCACAAGGACATCCAGGAGGGAAGGGGTTTGATTTTCTAACCTGCTCATGAAGAGCTGTAGCCCAATCTCTAGCTGGAGACTGTCATGAAACACCAGAATGCTGGAGGAGAAAACCCAGACTCGGATTAAGCAAATTCAAGGTCAGAATGACATCAGAGGATTCCCTTAATATCCCTTGCTTTCCCGCTGTCCCCATGGGGACTTCTATAGTCAGGGGCTGGGGTCTGGGCCCAATCCTCAGAGCTCTTCAGCTGGGATGGGCAGGCCAAGACCCTCATGAGTCTCTTGTGAGCATTTCTTGTAATCTCGGTTTAGAGAGCAGGTATTGGGAAAAAGGTCTGTGGCCTTGGGCGGTTCTTCCCAGCACAGCCATCCATGTTGGGCATTTACGTGTGTTATTAGGGAGTTGTGTGGGCACAGGCTCTTGTCCTATTTGGTTCTTGCCTTCCAGGAAGACCCTGTGGTCCTTCTGCCCCTTGGGGATGGGGAGAGGTTGGAGGAAGCAGAAACACTGAAGAGTGAACAGCATCCTGACCATAGAAAATGCTCACCTGGCACCGAGAGCTGCTGCAGCTTCCTTGGGAAGTCCTGGCAACTTTAGGGGAATTAATTTAGTTTCCTGCCAACTCCAGGTGGGTGTGACCCAGGCCAAACATGCTGTCTCCAGGCGGTGATGTGAAAGGCAGCCTCGACATCTGGCAAAAGCTGCCAACTCCCCCGGTTTCCAGAGATTCTTCCTTTTGTTTTTTTTGCAAAAGTATGTAACTGTGCCTTTTGGGCAGTTGCAGTAGAGGACAAAAAAGGCTTCCCATAGAGTGTGATCCCCAGTGTGGAACGCCCCAGGGCTGGGGAGCAGGAGATACTGCCCGTGGGGAGGAGACAGGCCTCAAGATGGGACCCAGGCCAACTGAAGGAGCTGTGAATGCAGGTAAAGCCTGCAGTTATCTAGCAGTGTGCAGGCCCAGCCTAGCTGGCCCGGGTCCTTCAGGGAAGGTGTTTATGATCATGTCGCAATGGCCTAATTCCCATATTGTCCCGGAGGGATGTTCAGGGCTCATCTTCCCCAGCCTTTCACTGCCCTCCATGGCCGTGGGGTCATGGATGTCTGTTCTCATTGGCAGCCTCCCTGACCCAGCTTAGAACCTTCATGCTGATTTCTTGCACCCAGCGGCCAGGCCCATTCCCTCCTCACCTTCTTGTTTGAAGACTCAAAAGTCTGGGCCTTTTCCTGGGTGGTTTTTGTGAGAAAGGAGTCCTTGCTTTCCTAGAGGGAGGAGCTTTATCTGAACTCTGCAGACAGGTGCTGAGCACTCCCCGTCCCCGCGGGCGGTGGAGGAAATCCAAGTGCCAGGTCCCTCCTATGTCCCTCCTGGGGGAGTGTCCCTTTGGTCAACCAGTTGTTCCCCCTTTTATATGTCAGCATGTAAGGATTATGTTGTCCCCGTGATCTGCTTTTACCAGACAATGACGTGACCCAAAACTCGACTCACTTGTCTTTTTGAAAAAATTAATTGGCCAGGTGTGGTGGCTCACACCTGTAATCCCAGAACTTTGGGAGGCCGAGGCAGGCAGATAGCCTGAGGTCAGGCGTTCAAGACCAGTCTGACCAACATGGTGAGAACCCGTCTCTACTAAAAATACAAAAAAAATTAGCCTGGCATGGTGGCCTGCGCCTGTAATCCCAGATACTTGGGAGGCTGAGGCAGGGGAATTGCTTGAACCAGGGAGGTGGAGGTTGCAGTGAGCTAAGATCATGCTACTGCACTACGGCCTGGGTGACAGAGTGAAACTCTGCCTCAAAAAAAGAAAAAAAAATTAATATATTGTTAAAGACAGGGTCTCATCCTGTCACCCAGGCTGGAGTACAGAGGTGTGATCTCTGCTTACCGCATTCTTGATCTCCCAGATTCAAGCAATCCTCCCATCTCAGCCTCCCAAGTAGCTGGGACCACAGGTGCACCATCATGCCTGGCTAAATTTTTGGTGTTTTTTGTAGAGATAAAGTCTTGCTATGTTTCCCAGGCTTGTCTTGAACTCCCAGGCTTAAGCGATCCTCCCACTTCAGCTTATCAAAGTGCTGTGGTTACTGGCATGAGCCACTGTGCTGCATCCAGTCACACTTGTCCCGATGACTTGGGAAGGAGGGCTCAGGTTTGAGCAATCTAGAGAGAGCTGCTGCGATGTACAGAGCACACTGTGTTGACAACAGATTGTGATGCCTGTTGTCAGACGAAGAGTCATGAGCACTGGGAAAAGCTATGGCGGAGAAGGGTGTCCTGGTGGTGTGGGCTTTCAGCCCATGGGTAGGTCACTTGACACAGTGGTCCTTCTGTGCATGAGCCCATGTGTGGCCCAGAGTCTCTCAGGTGGGCAGCCAGGGCTCCTGCAGACACATTCAGCTCAACCCACCTCAGGTACAATGTTTAAAGTTCAAAGGCAAGAAGACAGGAGGTCACACACTTTACAATTCCCTTCATATGAAATGACCAGACAGGTAAATACAGGGACAGAAAGAAAACTGTGGTTGTTGGGGCTGAGGAGATGGGGGAGATGGAAGTGGAGATGAGGAATAACTGTTTAATATTTTTGGGGTTTTACTTAGGGTGATGAAAATATTTTGGAACTAGATAGAGATGGTGGTTGCAAAACATTGGGAATGTACTTAGTGCCACCAAATGGTATACTTTAAAATGGTCAATTTTATATTATATAAATTTTATCTCAATTGACAAAAAAGAAAAATATTTAAAAAAAGAAAAAACAGAAGAAAAGGAAAAACAACAGAGAGAGAGAGGAGAGAGAGAGAAAACAAAGAAAGAAAGAAAAAAAAAAGAGCTGCGTATCCACCCTCTTGTGGAAGGGATTATGTTTAGAAAACAAGAAAACCCCCAAATCTCGTTTGTTAAAATGTGATTGTCTGGTCTCTGGTGCCCTCTGCAGGAATGTGTGTCAGTGCACCAGTCCCTCTTCCCAGTTTTCTTTTCTTTTTCTTCTTTTCCTCAACTTTTATTTTAAATTCAGGGGGTACATGTGCAGGTTTGTCACATGGATTTATTGCATGACGCTGAGGTTTGGGATCTGAGAGATCCTGTCACTCAGGTAGTGAGCATAGTACTTAATAAGTTAGTTTTTCAACCCTTTCCTTTTCCCTTCCTCTCTGCTCCAGTAGTCCCCAGGGTCTCTTGTTCTCATCCTTATGTCCATGTGTGCCCAGTGTTTAGTTCCCACTTATAATTGAGAACGCATAGCATTTGGTTTTCTGTTCCTGTATTAATTCACTTAGGATAATGGTCTCCAGCTGCATCCATGTTGCCGCAAAGGACATAATTTCACTTTTTTATGGCTGTGTAGTATTCCTTGGTGTATATGTACCACATTTTCTTTATCCAGTCCTCCAATGACAGGCACCTAGGTTGATTCCATTTCTTTGTTATTGTGAATTGTGCTGCAATAAACATATGAGTGCATGTGTCTTTTTGGTAGAATGATTTCTTTTCCTTTGGTTATATACCCAATAATGGCATTGCTGGGTCAAATGGTAGCTCTACTTTTAGTTCTTTCAGAAACCTCTGAACTGCTTTCCATGGTAGCTGAGCTAATACACTCCCACACGGTGTATAAAGGTTGCCTTTTTCTGTACAAATTTGCCAACATCTGTTAATTTTTTGACTTTTTGGTAATTGCTATTCTGACTGGTGTGAGATGGTGTCTCATTGTGATTTTGATTTGCATTTCTGATGATTAGTTATGTTGAGCATTTTTTCACGTTTTTTGGCTGCATGTATGTCTTTTTGAGACGTGTCTGTTCAAGTCCTTTTATCCATTTTTAAATGGGGTTATTTGTTTTTAGCTTGTTGAATTGTTTAGGTTCCTTACAGATTCTGGATCTCAGCTCTTTGCGGATAGTTTGTGAGTATTTCGTGAGTATTTGAGTTTGTGAATATTTTCTCCTGTTCTGCAGGTTGTCTGTTTACTCCATTGATGGCTGCTTTTGCTGTGCAGAAGCCCAGTTTTCCCTAAGGCCCCCAAGAAGTCAGTGAGATTTTCTGTCAGAAGGAGTCCTCTTGTATTTCCCTCCCCCTCCATCTGCTCTGGACCTGGGAGCCAGCTTTGCTGTCTGGGCCCTGAGCAGGCCAGTTTGTGTCCTCTTTTCTCAAAGCCCTTCTGAAAACAGTTCAACTGGTGTTTTCCCTGTAGACCCTCCCTCTGTCCTATAATGGGACCAAATCCATAGGGGCAGTCTTGGAGGACAAATGGTACTTTTCCTAATCTCTTCTCCTTCTCCCTATCTCCCTGCACAAACTTTCTGCTTCCCATAACCCCTGGGACTGTGTGCACAGGGATTTCGGATCCTCTAAGTATTTAAAACAATATTTACCCAAGTCATGGATGATTTGTCTCACCTCACTCTTGGATGGTAAATTCACTCCCTGAGGCTTTGCAGTTTCTGCCTACACACTGTTTAGTCCAGGCCCAAGGGGTACCTTGCAGCAACCACACCCTCCTATCTTCCCAAGGCTTCCCACTCTTTAATGCAAACCATGTATTTTTTCTCAATATTATGTAAAGTGCTCTGTATATGTAGCTGGAAGAGCCCCCTAACAAGCAGATCTGCCAAGGAGCCCCTCCAACATGGACATTTAAGGATCGCCTCTGTGTCTTAGACTCTGGAGATGGTGTTGGTTGAATGACGACCAGGTGAGTGCAATGAAGACTAAAAACCACTAAAAGCTGGCCACTCCTGAGGAGACAGGACTGAGCAGGGGCACACGAGGATGCTGGGGCCTTCAGGATGAGAAGCAAAGTTCAGCAGAAGAGACAGATGGGATACAGCAAGCATTTAGGGCAGGAGAAGAACTAAATTAAATGAGGTAAATGAAGTAGGGTCATTTCGTACCCAACAGTGATTATTTATTCATAAAAATCTGTGTCTCAGGCATTCAGGTCCTTTGGAATGCACTAGCTAATCAAATGAACAAAAAGTTCTTCTGACCTCAGGAGTTGATATCCTTCTTTTTCTAATGCCTCCTTCTCCTTTTCTTCTTCTCCACGTTCTCATCTTCTTCCTACTCTCCATCCTGCTTCTCCTCCCCTCCTCCTCTCACATTTTTCTTACATTATTCTTATATTTCTCCTTTTTCTTTCTCATTTTCCCTTCCTTTTCCTCCTCCTTTTCTGCTTCTTCTTCATTATCATGATCTTCTTTGTGGTCATCTTTTTACCCTCTTCCTCTTCCTCTTTATTTTTCTTTGCCATCCTCATCTTCTTGGCTATCTTTGTCATCACCTCATTCTCCTTCCCTTATCTCCTTCTTCTCCTCCTCTTGCTCTTATTCCTCCTTCCCCTTCTTCCCTCCTCCTCCTTCCCCTTTCCCTTCTTCCCTCCTCTGCTTTCTTCCCTCCCTTTCTTTCTTTCTTTCTTTCTTTCTTTCTTTCTTTCTTTCTTTCTTTCTTTTTTCTTCTCCTCTCCTCTTCTTCTCTCCTTCCTCTTCTACTTCTTCCTCTTCATCCTTCGTCTTCTTCTTCTTCTCCTCTCTCTTCTCTCTTCATTCTCTCTCTCTTCTTCCTTCCTCTTCCCCTCTTCTCTTCTCTCCTTCTTCTCTCTTTCTTCTCCTTCTCTTCTCTCCTCCTCCTCTTCTCCTCTTCTGAGATTTTAATAGCGCCAAACCTCCTTGTGTAAGGGAAATACCTAATTGTATCTTACTCTAACCTGCCTGACTTAGTAATGGGGGTAAGGAATTAGAAGTTCCATAAAAGTCGTAACCTAAGGAGACCAAGGCTTTCTACAAATAATGGTATATATCAGTTCTGGAAAACACTTCCATTTCTGCCAC